TATATTGAATCATAGGTCAACAGCCAACGCTTATCACTTCGTCCTTCAGCCAGGACTTCTCTTTACAACAACTTTTCCTAAAGTTGACAACACTTATCACTTCGTCCTTCAGCCAGGACTTTGCTTTGCAACAACTTTCCCTAAAGTTGCCAACGCTTATCACTTCATCCTTCAGTCAGGACTTCATTCTTGCATATCTTTTTCATCTCTGCTACAAATAACATATACACCCCCTAGAAATGACAATGTAGCTGCCTCTACAAAGTCCATGCATTATATAAATATCCATACACGGACTTGAGGGATTATTGTTACGAGGCACTCGGGGGGCCTCCACCTAGTCCGTCCACCTCATCCACCATGTGTGGACGAACTGAAACGATGTGGCCGCTTGTAGACAAACTGATTCGTATCTAATATATCGATCATGACTCCGAACTGAAACATTATTGCCCACTTGTAGGAGAACTGCCATTCACAGCGGATGCAAAGGCCCGCACTCTGCATTCATTGCAGTTCACAATTAGCCTCGCCACACCTCTACCAAGATCTTTTATGAGATCTCCAAAGTCAAGTCCCTGACTGATTGATCAGATGTGTGGCAGGCTACAAACGGTCAACTTAGCCGCTATGTTAGAAATCATTTAATGTCTGCCAACCTATGGATTGACAGATTGATGCTTATGAAAGGATGACCCATTCGGGATCTGAAGCCACGTGTCCCATCATCTTACAGTTCACCTATTTTCTTCTCTAGTATAAATACCCCCACACTGGTAAGAAGAAGGGGTTCCCATTCTAATCTTTTAACTCTAAAGAGCCTTTCACTATATTTACACACATTCTCAACCACGTCCCGATGATCACTTCACAGTTGGGCACCACTTTTCGGTTGACTGAAATACTGACTTGACCGTCGGAGTGCTCGCGGCTGCTTCCACTTCCACCGGAAAAGGCCACAAGTGACTAACGGTGTGATACCGTGCACAGAGAGGAGCATACGTGAAAACTTATTCTATTGATCATGTGTCGGAGCCATTTTTTGAGGTCAAAGACATTTGAGGCTCTATGTGGGTGGGTGGTGGTCGTCGACACGGTTGGATTGATTTGGTTTGGTTGGAGTTAAAGGTGGGAGTGGGGGAAAAGATGAACCTTTTCCAAATTCTTTTATTTCACTCTTTTTTTTTTTCTTGGATTTTTTGTTTTATCATTTCGTTGGAGAAATATAAAATTATAATTTTGTCCTTTTAAAATTAATCAAAATGTTATCAAATTGATTTTCTGGGTTGACCGACGGTCAAATTTCTCTAACTCGAAATGAAATGTTTGAGAAGATGAGTGGAAAAATGAAATATTTGAATATTGTCTACAACAATTTGAAAGTTTGGGACCTTAACTGTAATTTTCCCTAACTTCACGTGACAAATCTTTCCAATAAAGTTTTAAGCTTGTTATCAGCCTACTACAATCCTTCCCTAACTGGGACCCTAGACCTTTTTTTTTATTGCATTTTGTCTCCATTCCATTTTTGCAGCATTAGATTCCATAATGGATGGTTTCTAGCATTAGATTCCATAATATTTTGATCATATTCCATTTCTTTTTGAGTTCTAATTTCATCCAGTTGTCTTCTATCAATTTTCAAAGTATCATCACGTGGTTCGAATCAACTATTGAATTTGCAATTTGGTCCTCAAACTTTGGGCTTTGCCATTTTTCCTTGATTTTCTTTTGTTTCTTTCAATTCCTCGTTCAACCATTGATTTAACCTATATAATATAAAATAAAACAATTTAGGATATATTTTATCAAATAGATTTACGGTCGACCACTACGACGAAGCACCTTCAACGTTTATCTTGCATTCGTCGGGAAACTGGTTATCGGGCGGTTTTTGGAATTCCGACTCGGCATTGTGAGCCGTACTTCGCTCTACTGAGATTCTGCCATTGGGAAGCAAAACTGTGACGGTTTTGGTATAGCCGGATGGCGTCAGAGCAATGGAAGATGAAACAGGGTCGGCACTGCAATCAGTAAACGTATCAAATTCAGGGATCAATGGACTTTTTTTGGAATTTCGATTCGTGGGCAACGACTACATCGCAGAACCTATTCAGTTTGGAGGATTTGATTGCTTTTATTCGTCCCATTTTTCTTCAAATCTCGCTGCGTATGCGTCCCTAATGGGTTAAAAGCTAGGTTTTCTGTTTTGGTAGAATTGGGGATTTCATGAGTCCCAATGGTCAACTTAGGTTGTGTGTTCCACTGCTCACTATGTAGAGTTTTAGTCACTAAATTTATCTAATGTTGGACATTACTCATTGACATAACATCTGTTTTAAATGTTTAATGAAATTAGTGACGTGGTTAACGTAATGCATGTGACGTCCTATCATGCTGTTAATTTTCATTGCTTACTAAATTTTGGAAAACGTTTTCAATTGCTCACTTAACTTTAAATTGATTGAATTTTGGCTACTAAAAATTTAAAGTGCCTTTCATTGCTCACTAAACTTTGAAAACATTTTTGATTGCTCTCTAAATTTTGAAAAACGTTTTCGATTGCTCACTGAACTTTGAGGTGGTCGAATATTGGCC